ATTCTTTACCTTGCGTTTGCTTAAAACTTGTGCAAATTGATTAACTAATAGCTTAAATAAAAGCCGTTTTTTCACTGAAGGTTCTTACACAAAAATATATAGGATTGTATAATTTATAATTGGCGAAATACATCTTAATTAAAGTAAGAATTCGAAAATAAATTAAATTTATGTGTTTTACTCGAGTAATACAGTAGATAAACATCTACCGATACTTGATGTGAAATCTGTGAGTGCATACTTTCAATTTGAGACCTCATTCTAACCATGAAAATCGGTCGGGTAGAAGAGTCAAACAAACTCGGAAAAGAATATCCAAATTGTTTAAATCATAAACTAATTCACAAACCAATTCATCCCTAATATAGGGGTTACTCAAAAATATTGCATAAGGTTTCTCTCAAGTAAGCCTAGAACAAGCCTCCAAATACAACTGAGAATTTAGTTCGATGGACTCAAAGCAAAACATGTTTGTTTTATTATTCAAAATGGAACTGTCAATAACGTCCAAAACAAGATGTTAAGGCGTTTAGTATACGATTCAGGCTAGTGTCGCAATTTGATTATATTATTTATCATCTATACCGTTCCTGTTCTAATATCCGTGGAAAAAATTCTATCAGCTATTAAAATTGCTTGATCTACTTTATTCAAAAATCACCAGCTGATCTTATGCCTTTGTTTATGTGTCAATAACAATTATAAATAAATAAAAAACATTATTTCTATTTCTTCTCCTTCGTGATGTTCTATGACTTTCCTATGTTTCCATAGTTTGCAAATCGGTTCTTTTCAATGATAACTAAGAAATGCAGCACAGTGATAATTCAGTTTTCTGTTTAGTACATATTACAAATTATAGAGGCTCTTTCTCGCGTTTATTCATTGTAGTATTTACGTCAACCCAAATTCAAAAAGTAAATATTTCATTTCAACCAAGTCGGTAAATGTTTGTAGAAAACTGTTAAAATTAGCATATTTATTGTCTGTTAACAATTAACATATGTTCTTCTTCTCACTTTTAATTTTTGACAACAACTGCAGTTTTATAACAATTTGTGTTTCCCATGTTAATCTTGTGGAAAAGTTTGAAACTTTAAAAGGCTTCCCAGGCCCTCGCTCTCTAGTTATTTTCCTAAAAAGAAGGTTCATGCACAACTTCACGTTAAGACGGTGACACACTATCGATCTTTTCCCCGAACAAGACCCCGAACCGAGCAGTGAGAAGGGAGGTCAAAGGGAGCATGTTCGATAGTGTGTCAGGGGTCCGTTGGTCCGTACACCGATCCAGACGGTGAACAAGACATCAGGCCGAGCAGGGAGACGAGCGCTCTGGAGGCGGCTTTTTGGCGAAAGATCAAAGAAAAGATCGGTCCGATGTACGGAGTGAAGTACGATAGTGTGTCACGGTACATTTTTGCCCCGTACGCCGCGCCGTCGCGAGCGCCGCACCGAGCGGCCGACTGTGTTGAGTTATAATTTATTATGGCAATTAGACCCTTTAATTGGTAAAATAAATAAAGGTTGGGTAATATGTTGCCGTTATATATTATTACCATTTAAGATGTTATGTTGTGGTTTGTTTGGTCAAGGTTGAAAATGTAGAAACCGTTAAAATTAATATAAACATTAATATTATTAAAGTCAATTAAAATTACCATTCTGTAACGTTATTTCAATGAATAAAACCAATAAAAATCAATACATATAACTAAGCATCCTTTCTAGAATATTTTATTTTTGCGACAAGTTTTTAAAAAGTGACTTTTAACGCGCTCTCACTCGCACACACTCTCCATCTCTCTCTAAACTCCCTTTTGCCACGTTTGGTAGAATTTGTCTGGTCTTGGTCTTGTTCGGGGTAATGTTCGGAGTGAAATTTTGCTGATATTTATCTCCCTTCTCCCTTCTCCCTGCTCGGGTTCGAGGCCTTGATCGGGGAGAAGATTGATAGTGTGTCACCGCCTTTATTCTCTTTCCAGTGACACCTAAAGTTGAAAACTGCTCTATTCCAAGCAACCACTGCGATTTCTAACTACACAGCGGGCGAATTAGAAACCGCAGCGGGAGGTCAACCGCTATCGCTATCGCTCTTGGTGCATAAACAGCCCCATTTTACTCAATGGTGTTAGAAATCGCTCCCGCTCTTGGTGCATAAACGGGGTCTAAAACATGTCAATCGGTCCAGTAGTTTCGGAGTAGTAATCGTCACAAAAACCTGCTTGCATATTAAATAAGTAAAGATATCTATTTTTGACATTTTAGTAATTAAACTATTTTTCCCGCCATCACGGGAAAGAAATTATTCACAGCTTTACAGCTGCACAGTGCCCACCTGCCTGGTAGAGGCAGGTGAGAGCCAATTACATATCACAAATGCAAAACAACTTTATAATCCCCTCCACAAAATATGGGACCGGCACGGCCTTGATGAAAGTCAGAGGACGCATGGAGCGGTGAAATCGTTTGTACGGATATCCGTTGTAACTAGACGTCGTGTGTGCCACGACCACGGCACAGACCAATGTGACTGTCACTATATCAGTGTTAGAGGGGCTGGCAAAGCGACTGCATGTTGCTCCCAACACACAATGGATTTCGCGCTATATGTGTTGTGCAAGCCGAAATTTACTCCAACTCAGGCACCGTAGTCCGGTCAACCACTGTTGCTGCCGGTGTATATCTGTAAGCCCGAGGTATGCGGTTTGGACTACTTAAGATTTTTTGATGCTGTTAATTTCCTATTTTTGAGCGGAGCAAAGTTCTTATACTAACCTCTTCTGGTTTTGTTTTACAATACTCCTCCTGAACGGCTGTTGCAATCTGCAATAAATTAAGCACAGTCATAATAACCAACCATGGTAAGGTAATACTGTAATAGTACAAATCAGGCCACAGGGTTTTCCCAAACATTAATAGAGTCAAGTAATCAAAGTAATTAATTAGTCATGGGCATGTTAAATACCACTTCCTTAACTGTCTTAAAATAAAATTGTTAACAAAATTCAAATAAACAGCAATCTGACACATAATTCCACCTATTAGCTTGTGAACAACCTATATCGCAGTGGGAGTAACTACGATAATCAAACTACAAAACGGTGTGGTCTTTAGCTCTGTATACATCAACACACACGTACAACAGCCTTCAAAAACACGTACATCACTGCAAAACCTACTTTTTGGGTTAAGAGAGGTGCAAATTTGTTTATACGGTAAAAATAACACACTTATAATAATCCTTTGAAAAACAATGTACAATTACATATGAAAGTTATGCTGTGTGTAAAATCTTGGTTTGTATGTTATTTATTAAAATGAAATAGGCTTGGTAATCAAGTGTTAATATGTTACAACGGTAAATCGGAAATTTTGCTTGATTGTAAAAATTTTTTGAAGCATTGAAATGTTTCTATAGGATTTCCGATTACCTTAAACGCTTGGACATTGAAACGTCATTGCCTGATTGAACGTTACCGGTACGTTTAGAGTTAGCTACATATGATGAACATTTAATTAAAAACTTAAAAGCTATTGATGCTTAAGACGTGGTGTTGTTTCAAATAATATACATTTCCATCTCAAAGTCAATGTGACTATCTACTTTAAGACTCAGAATGGCTTTCAACAATACTGGCTACGTCTTAGTAACTAATAATAACTAACTAGTAATTAGTTTATCAATAGCTGCGTAATCTTAGTTTTTGCAGTAATGTGTAGTAATTAAGAATGACAAAGTATAATTAGCTATAATCAGTAAAAATCTAGTTATTTTGAGTAATCGACTGTGGGTACTGATAATCATAGACTTCAATGTTCACAATGTCCAGGTTATGTAAATCACAGCTGTATTTTCATGTTGAAACATGAATAAGTATCTTATTGCAAAAACTACGATATTTTTTTACAATGATACAATGGTTATTCGACCAATCAACAATAATTGCAAGATTAAACGTTGACACTAAAGTTTAGCTTCAATAGCAAATATTTAATCGTGTCAGGATTATAAGTATTGTTTGTTGTGGTTTTTCGTAATAAGTGTGTCCTATAAGTGTGTGCTTCAAACACTGAATGTGTTATTTTAACACTCTCAATATCAAATTAATCATACCTAACAATAACAACAGTACATCAATGTAAGGGTTGTCAAAAAATAGGATCTAATAAAGATACTCTTATTGCTCGTTTGAAACTTGTTACAATTCAATAAAATAGTATTTTCCTACAGTCACCTGACAAAGTTGGCTTTCTTGTACTGTTAATTGTACAGAAAGCTGCTAATTGCTGCATATTTATTTATACTTTGTCGTACGGTTTAAACTTTTTTGTACGGTTTATACTTTGGCGCACATCAGGATTCCGACCAAACAACATAAAACAGCATGGTTTTGTTATGCACGTAATCCGTGTACGCTTCGAAAATAGGTTGGCAACACTTAAAGATAATAATACTAGGATCAGCTGATTGACTATCATACCTACGATTTAACCTGTCATTTCGTGTTTATAGTTTATGTTAATTTTCGTTCAACGCTTGGTTTGAACACAACCTGAAAGATGTATTATAAGTGGGCCTAACATGTTTAAAAAAATAATGAACTCAGTGAAAGTAATTGTGAATATAATGGTAGACCATAAATAGTAGAAACTGAAAACATGTTTCATTAAATTTGTTACCTATAAAAACCAAGAAAGAAGTATGAACGAACATACGAACTTTCTTCCTCTTGGCGCGTAGGTAAGAAAGTTACAGAACTGTCAGATAATGTTTTATTGTCATACTAGGTGAAACCCGTCGAAATCGACGGTTACTTTCCACGAAGATAAAAAAAACACGTCTTTTTCACGTCTTTCACGTCTTTTTCGTTGTGCGTGTCTAGACTGTGCGATTCTTTAAAATGGTTAACTGTAATATTTGTTTAAAAGTGATAAAAGCGAACGTGATTAAGCTACAGTGTTGTGATTGTGGGAGTGAGTTCCACGGCAGCTGTCTGAAGATGAGCAAGGCTGATGTAGACTGTATCACGTCCGAAGGAATGGTTTGGAGATGTCAACCATGTGGAGATACAAGAAGGAAGAGTCTAAGATTTGAATCTGATGCCCAGGAAGGTAAGCTTTCTCTTGAGGACATTATGAAAAAGATTATTGAGATAGGTGAAAATCAAAAATCTATCGAACAAAATGTAAATAAATCTAATGAACTCCTAAGTGAAAAAATTGACGAGAACACTAAATATGTTAAGGAACAGAAGATGTCATTAGATAAGTGTTTACAAACTATAGATATGCTCGTAGCAGAGAATCAACAACTAAACAAAAAGGTTATTGATCTAGAAAAACGTGTTGATGAAATGGAGCAATACTCGAGAATTAACGCAGTAGAAATACACGGTGTTCCGCAGCAGCCTAATGAGGATGTCATAGGAGTTGTGAAGGCAGTCGGTCGAGCCCTGGATATGGAGGTGAATGATACAATGATTGACGCCTGTCATCGTTTGGGCAACAAACCTGGACCTAACAACACTCCACCCGGGATTATAGTCAAGTTTGTGCGGCGAATGGACAAAGAGGAGTTCCTAAGAAAACGACGTGTGAAGAGGAATCTCTCTACAAGACACATGGATATGCCAATGGACCAGGCAGTGTACGTCAACGAAGCTCTGACACCGGCGAGGCGGCGACTTCTAGGGGCGGCGAGGCAAGTGAGGAAAGATAAGAACTTTCGACACCTATGGGTTCGTGGCGGGAAAATATTTCTGCGCAAGGACGAAGGATCGACTGTTATACAGGTGACTTGCCAGGCTGACCTAGATAAAATTGTTTGAAGCACTTCTTAACTTTACTATACATAGTTTTTCTTACTTGCAACCGATTATAATGTTATGTCCAACATTATAACTAGTCAATCTATAAAGTATTGTATTTTTCACTAAACTGACCGCTTTTTATAAATGTTTTAGTTTGCTTCATGTATTATTAAAAAAGTTGTTAAGCTCAGTATTTCATTGTTATATAGTTTTTTAAAGAAATAATTTCAAATAATAAAATAGTCTTTATTCACCAGAATATTAGGAGTCTCAGAAAAAATTTTGATATGTTTATAGCTGAATTATCAACGCACACATATACCCCAGATGTAATTGTTCTATCAGAGATATGGATAAATTCAAGTGAAACTGGTCTTTATGAAATATCAAATTATAAAATGTATGTGAAATGTAGTGATGATTACCGTGCTGGAGGAATTGTTGTATATTTAAAAGACTCGTTAGTGGATATTAATAATCATCAATTTGAATCACAAACTTCTGATGCTGTGCTTGTATCTTTCAGGATATTTGATCAACATTTTTATTTATTAGCTTTATACAGATTTAGTTTTTATCCTATTGATTTATTTAATAATGAACTTAGGATGATTTTCAGTAACAAGGATAACGTTTTTAATACATTTAATAATTTCTTTTTAGTAGGGGACTTAAATATTAATTTACTCGACGATTGTAGAAATACTGATATTTATAAAACATTTTTAGCAGGTAATGGTTTTGAAAGTCTGGTAAATGAGCCAACACGTATCACAGAACAATCTGAAACATGTATAGATCACGTTTTTGCCAGAGTTAAGGAAAAGAGCAAAGTATTGGTAGAAGCATCAGTTGACCAAGCTGATATCAGCGATCACTGTCTGATAAGAGTTGTGGTCAGTGTGGCGGGTGAGGGCAGTGGAGGTTCCCCTCCCTCCCCCGGGCCACGCTGGAGTACTGACTACTTGAGACTGAAACAGCTGTTAGCTGACGCCGATTGGACTACTGTATACGAAGCTATAAATGCTTCAATAGCGTTTGAGAATTTTTTTTGTTTTGTTACAGAGTTTTTTAGATCAAAGTAAAGTTGAAATAAATTCAAACAAACAAGTTTTTAATAAAGTAAAACCTTGGATGAATGATTTTATATGTTCTAAGATCAAAAAAAGAAATCATATTTTTAAGCTTATGAAGTGTCATCCAAACAATGAAAATCTAAAAAGATTTTACAAAAAATATAGGAATTCTCTTCAAAATAAAATAAGGAATTTAAAAGAGGATTACTACAAAAAAAGGTTTGAAAAATGCAGTGGTAATTCGAGGGAAACGTGGAAAATAGTAAATGAGTTAACAGGTCAGTCAAAGAAAAAAGATGACGCTCTTAGATTAGAAATAAATGGTGTACTGACTGATGATTCATTGGCAGTTGCGAATGAATTTAATAACTATTTTTTAGAAATTGTTGAAAATCTGAAAATGAACGATCATACATCTCAGGTTGATCTACGTTTATTAGAGTATAGAAACAAGTTCCCCAGTTCTTTTCAAGTCAAAACAATGTTCATTGACCCTGTTTTCCCTGCAGATCTTTTAGCTGTAATTAACACATTAAAAAATACTACATCTCCTGGAATTGATGGCATAAATGCAAGCTTGATAAAGGAAATTTTTCCGGAAATTACTAATGTTCTTTTATTTGTCATTAATTTTAGTTTAACAACTGGAGTTTTTCCAACAAATTTAAAAAATGCAGTAATAATACCAATTTTTAAGAGTGGATCAAAGTCGAAATGTAGTAACTATCGTCCGATATCTTTGTTGTCATGTTTCTCAAAGATATATGAAAAAGTTATGAAGAACAAATTATTAGTATTTTTAGATAAAACAAATTTTTTTAGTGGAAATCAATTTGGATTTAGAGCTGCTATGAACACTGAACATGCTTTGCTAAATTTTATGACAAATGTTAATGAAGGTGTAAATGAGGGGAAAAAAGTGAGTGGGCTTTTCCTCGACATAAAAAAAGCGTTTGACACAGTTGACCACACCATTCTGCTGGACAAGCTGTTTAATATTGGTGTTAGAGGTGTTTCCCATGAGTGGTTTAAAAGTTATCTTTCTGACAGGAAACAATGTGTTCGAATTAATTCTATTCTTAGTGAAATGGGAACTATTAAGAGTGGGGTGCCTCAAGGATCTGTATTAGGGGCAACATTATTTATTATATTTATTAATGATCTTTGTGAAGGTAAATTTAATGGTAAGCTAACCTCTTTTGCTGATGATACAGCTTTATGTTACTCTGAACGCGATTGGCAGTCAGTTCAACATGCGATGAATGGAGACCTTGAGGCACTGAAATGGTGGTTCACTGTCAATCGTCTTTTACTGAGTGCTGAGAAAACCAAATACATTAATTTTAGCCTCATAAAACCCTTTAATTTTACAGATCCTATTACATTTAAATGTACACTTTGCTTGAGTAGACAGACAACCTGCATGTTAAACTGTGCTACTGTAGATCAGACTGATAGTATTAAGTATTTGGGACTTCATGTAGATGCAGAACTTTGCTGGAAAATTCATATCAAAAAGCTCAAAGACAAAGTCAACAATTCAATAAGATATTTTTATTTTTTAAGAAATCTAAGTAATACTCAAATTTTGCGTATGTTATATTTTGCTTTGATTCAAAGTAGGCTAGAATACGGCTTGGTTTTCTGGGGTAATACTTATGACTCTTATACAAAACCATTATTTATTCAACAGAAACATGCTTTGAGATTAATTTCATATAAAAATAGATTTGAACCTTCAAAACCTCTTTTCATTCAGCACAAAATCTTTCCTTTAAAATATTTGTATGTTTTTAAAGCTTTGAATCTCTTTTGTTCAGTTTACAAAAAAATACCCAGGAATGAAAATGAATATATACTTAAGCTTAGAAATCCTAACCAGTTTTTAGTTTCCAAGCCCAACAACACCTTTTTTACAAAAACATTTGGTTTTATAGTGCTAAAATTGTTTAAGAAACTCCCTGAAAATGTACAAATGTTAATAAACAACAAAAAAGTGTTTTTAAATAAGGTAAAGAAATGGCTTTCACAATTTGAAGATATTGATGAATTATTTATATTATTAAATTAGAATCTTAAATGAGAATCTTATTTTGTATTTTTAGCAGTTAAGGACGCACTTTGGCGGGCTATGCCACTCAGGGTCTATACATTGTATGTAATGTGCTATGACGGCCCTTGGGTTGGGGCTATCAGCCGCCTGGTGGCACTAGTGCAGTGCGTGGTTTCGAGTTATCAAACCAGAGATAACAAACACGATAGATAAGAATCAAACATATGTGGCAGGTGTTTTGAATAATCATTTGTCTTTCTCATTTATTGTTTTTAGGTTAAGATTTCGAATGAGACCTTTGTGTTTTTTACTAGTATTGTTTTTATATCTATCTGATCGCTCTGTGTATACATTAAATTTTGCAAGTAAAGGAACCTCAACCACAGGCTTTGCCTAATGAGGCCCTAATTATTTTCTCAAATTCAAATTTTAAAGGTCACTTTTATTGTACATACAGTATGGTTGTTTTTGTGCTTCAGATTACTGTAACTTGTCTTTTGTCAGCCTGGTGAGAACAACGGACTTTTTATTTCATTTCAAGTCTATTTTTATTATAACCAAGTTGTTTTTTTGTTTTACTCCAAGTGAAAATTAATGTACAATAATTGTGAAAGATGTACAATGTATTGTAAGTTCTTTGAGAAAATAAATATATATTCTATTCTATTCTATTCTATTCTACTTTCAAAGCTTAGGCTAATTCATATAAATGCGATAAATTGAGTGAAATTATACATTTTTTGAGCATTAGCATTGTTTAAAGAGTAATAAGTTTAAAAACAATAATGATATTAATTGCGTTAGTTACCAAATATGTTTAGTCATACAATGAATAAAATATTTCCCATACGAATAAAATATTTCCTCATCGGAGTCATTATTAGTATGTTAACTGGTATCTCTTCTTTTGGAAGAACCTTTAAATAGTATTAAAATCGTATGGTGGATCTTTTGTAGTTAAAGACTTCCACGATTTCATCAGTGTAATAAAGATTAATCTATGATCTTATTTGAGAAAAAATATCTGTTTGTTGAGAAGACACGTTGTATTGCAAAACATGACATGATACAGAAGAAAACCAATTTTAAAATCAGAAAATAACATTGCAAATACTTCTTTTGGACAATATTAGTAACTCCCAATCATCGATCTCTATAAATGTGTGTTGTTTAAAATACAATTTTAAAATCAACAGCTGTTTCATTAAAAAGTATTATCAACATGGCCAAATGTAAACAAATCTGTAAAGGGATCTTTAAAGGCTTCTGGGGCAGAGCCCTACGCAAATTTACTTCGTTTTTCTTTTGATAGCTCATCTACAGACCAAGACCTTTCTTTGGACACCTCTACCAAGTTTCTACCCAACCGTTCTCTCAAATTAGTGGAGACAAAGTTTCCAATTAAACATTTAGATTTTCCCATGTTAATCTTATGGGAGAAACCCCAACTTTGATGGAAGATCCTGCTCAAACTAATAAAGATATCAAAAAAACTAAAAACACTTTGCAAAACTACAGATCAGGGCAATTTTTTTGACACTTTAATAATTAAAATCGGTCCAAAAATGAGGGAGGAGTTCTGTTTACAAAAATCGGCTTAGCGTATTATATATATAGATTTTGAAGAACAATCCACATGTTTATTTTGTATTCATACTGTACTGATTATTACTGTTTATACCTGTACTATTGAAAATAAGAAACACAAAATTAATGCAATACTGTATTTACATCTAATTATTTGACTTTTTATATTTATAATGTGATTTCTATAACAATTTTCTTTATTTTAAAAGATATCTCCTTAATTTGTTAATCTTGCAAAGATTAGGAGGAAACGTCACGGTGTATATCCTAAATTTAAGAGTTCTATGGTGTAAGAACATGTA